AACCAAAACAAAACAAAACAAAAAAACCAACAAAATAAATACGTTAGTTTAAAGCAGTTTTTTGAGGGTTTTAAATTCTTTCTCTGCTTTTTTTCTGCTTCCTTTCCCCCTTTAACTTCACTTGGGACATGTACTGTGTGACATTTGCTTCATACCCAAGGAGGACAATGAAACTCTTTTGCTTTAAGACCTGTTAAGGTGAGAATCAAGCAGCTTGGTTTCTCATGTTTGATGGAAATGCCAGATAACTAGAAGGCTGTGGCAGATTCAGTCAAATTTTTAGATGGATCACCTGGTTTGGTTGCTGCCTGCTGTTTAAGAAAAATTATGAGGCCTGTTGTCTCAGTCATTATGGTGGGTTTTGTTCACTTGATACAAGGAACATGTACATCAATAGAAAATCACTCAGGCCTTATGTTGCTTCAGACAATACTCAGGATATGAACACAAAGTTCTTGGAGGTGAAAGGAAAAGCCATTCCTCCATGGACTGACAGGAAATCAAAGTACGCAACACTCTCCTGCAAAGGGGCCCTTATGATTGGAAGGAACAAAGAAATAGAAAATATTATCTGTAACATACACTATTTGTTAAGCACACACTAGATTTTTCCATGGGGATGTTTAGTAAAATGTTAAAATGAATTGTAAAATTCAAAGTGGATTTGCCCCATCCCAGCACTTTTCTAAGGACACTTCTCAGAAAATAGGCCATTCAGTTGCACTTTTTTTTTTGTTGGTGGGTTTTGGTAGGTTTTTTTGTGCAAAAGCATGGGAAAGTATTATCTGAGTTAAAATCTTTCAGAGACATCCCAATAAGCAGTTAATTTTGAAAGCTCACCTTCCTGACATTTCAAAACAGCTACAAAAATTGTATCTAAAATATGACTAATCCTGAAATCCATGGAATGACTGGAATATTCCATCGTAGGAGTAAATCTTGTGAGATTATCTTGTTCATGTGAGAGGCAAGTTCTAACAGCTACAAAATAAATCCCTCCTGTTCCCTGGGTTGCTCTGTTAATTTGTGTGCCAGTGGCAAGGGAAAGGATGCACAGTCTAGTTCTTGCAGGATGATTTGGTGCAGTTGTTGGGGAAACATTTTGCTGATGGTGTTTCCTCTGGGCAAAAAGACTTGTCTGAGCTGTAACTACAATATCCCTTCTAGAAAGAGCCTGGGACAGAGCTAACAGGTTTTAAAGTCAAAGTGCAACTGTTGCAAGCTTCTAAGTTTTTATGAAAATTGCAGTTAAGTGTCTTGTAAAAAGATATTTTCTTCTCTATAGCCGCTTAAAATTTTTGTAGTTGCTTGTACATCTTGTCACATGGTCTTGCCAAAGAGCAGCTGTGCTTGTCCTGGGGCTGCATGTCACCCTGCATATAAATTGCACAAAGAGAGCCTGGATCTCTGGTTCAAGTGCCAGTTTTGCTGTGCACCAAGAAGTTTGAGTGCTGCTGTGTGGGGGGGACCTGAGGCAAATACATCCTCTCTTATCCTCACAATTCAAATTCACTACCCCCTTGGTCAGTCCTCTCTGCAGCCCTTGCTGGGTCTGACAAGACCACGGATGACATCTTTGGATTTCTCTGTCACCTTATTACCTTTCTGGATGGAAACTGAAAATAGTGTTATGACTACCAGCTTTACACACAGCACACATTTGGAAGTGACTGGAACACATCCAGCTTTTGTCTTCCTGGTTGTTCACCAGGTAACAACCTTGGCTGTGTCTGGAATATTTTTGTCTCAGAGGCCTGGAGATGAATGGCTCTGCATGTTATTATAGTTTTACTGGGACATTAAACATTGCTCCCAGTAAAAATATCAAAATTCTGCATTACAGCCTTCATGCCCATAATTAAATTTGCATTTAGTTTAGCTCAAAGACAACAGGGATTACTTTCTGTAGTAATGTGGGGTTTTTTCTTGAGAAAACTCAAGGGAAACCTCTCCTACATGCATGTTGTATTGACCCTGGTCTATTTGTCTGTACTCTCTTTTTTTAACCAATGTTGAGACTAATTGAATTCTATAATTATTTTCATGGTATCACCAAATCAATGCTGCCTGTCAGCTTATAAATTGTACCTTTTATTGAACATACTGCTAATTGGTAAAGAGTGATGCTTAAGCAGCATCTCAAAGCAGGTCTGACACCACAGATCCAAAAATCAATGTGAGTCCCTCAACCTGTAAAATATTTTATAAGAGGAAGGGTTTAATTTCCATGCTATTTATATCTGTGTTGAACAAAGCCATTCTCCCAGGGACCTCTGAATTTAAGAATAGACATGACAGATCAAGAACCACTTCTGTGAGAAGAATTTGGACCAGATACACCCTGCATCAAAACCCCTTGGTTAGTGCCAGCATGCCTCATTAAATCACATAAACCCATGGAAAATACATGTCTGGCTTACAAAATCTGTCCCAGGGAGAGGAGTCTGTTTTGATTTTATATAAGCAGCTATTCCCACTGGATTAGTCCTTTGCTTAATGGGTTCCAAATGGAAGAAAGGGATTTAGCTCCAGAAACTTTGTCTGAAGAACACTTTCTTACCTTAGAGATTACAAAATTTCATTAACAGTAAATAATCTTTTTACAGACTGCCCTTAGGTGTCCTGCTTGCATTGCCAGCTTCCTGTGGAGGGGTGGCTGATTAGTGAAGAGGGACTACTGTTTATTCCCTCATTCCTTGTGGTAGACCAGGATCCTGAGCTGCTACTCTTGATTGATTTGTTCTGACAGTGCATGGAAATTACAGCACAGACTTTTCTAGGGCATTCTCCTGTTTCAAAAAAAGCATTTTAATAGCTTGATTGGTCTCCATGAATGTGGATATGTCCTGGTAATTGGCTGCTGTGCTCCCGGTATTGCATTCTAATGTTCCACTGTATGCAATTGACTGAGAAGTACTGTATAAATTGGAAGGATAATTGGATTAACTGCAAAATGACAGTGATTAAGATCCTAACCTGGGTTCTGGAGCCTCTCTTTTAGCAACAGCTTCCTCTGTGACTCAAAGGAAATCAATGAAGGTTAGGTGACTCCATACCCTTGGAGACCTGGCCTTCAGTTTCTCTGTGCAGCCTGCAAAGCAGGGACCACAGCACGATTTCACTGCACCAGCTCTCTAAGAGCACGTGTTTGGGGGGTCTGTGTTCACATACTGAGGTTACAGAGTGTATCTGCTCCATCAATCAGTGGGTGAAATTGGGCTACATGGAACACAAATCCTGACTTTTCTTGTCTGTTTCATATGGTTTGAGACAATCAGGGAGAAGAATGAGAGCCTGAGCCAGAATAGATCCTGCTGGTGTGGAGTGGAGTAGTTTATGAGGAATGTCCTCACAGGCAGAAGATTTGATTATACAAGGGCACAGGTCCTAAGCTGTGCCAGGGGAGGTTTAGTCTGGGCATTAGGAAGAAGTTCTTCACAGAAGTGATTGCACTGGAATGGGCTGCTCAGGGGAGGGGTGGAGCCACTGTCCCTGGAGGTGTCTAAGAAAAGACTGGATGTGGCACTCAGTGCCATGGTCTGTTTGACATGGTGGTATTAAGTCATAGGTTGGACTCAGTGATCTCAAAGATCTTTTCCAACCTAACTGATCCTGTGTGATTCTGTTGCTCTGTGATTGACTTTTTCCTGAAACCTCTACCAAAGCCAGCTCTAGAGCAGTCTCTGTGAGCACCCCTGGGTCTGAAAGTCCTTGCTCAGGAGCAAATGCCCTCTGTGCACCTGCCTGAAGTGATTACTGGTTGCTTTGCAGACAGCAAAGCCCTAAAACTTTGCGTTGTCATGGAAATAGCCAAACATGAAAACTCTGAATAAATGCTGGGGCAACTAATTCTTATTTCATCTCTTATGCAAGACTTATCTATTTTGTGTGATCTGGTATGTTAAAAAAACCCAAAGAAGTCACCAGCTACTATTCACCAGAAGTCTGTTGTCCTAGAATTGGCTGCTGCTGACTGCACAGCAGCCACCCATGGCCAAAAAATTATTAACTATTTCTTTATCTCCTCTCTGAGACATTTAAGACTCAAAGCATTTTCTTTTGTGTTGCTGTGTGTCTGCACTGTGTCAAGTGGCTGGACAGAAAAGGACTTACATAAGGTTATGAGAGGATTGGGTAACACTAAGATGCAATTTCTCTTAGGAAGACACAGCAAGGTCCAGCAAGGGTGCTGTCTATCTTGGTGGCATCTTCCTTAGGCCATGGCCAGGTGTGGCAGGTCAAAAGAATAAGGAATACGCTGTCAAAGTGGTTTGGGGTTCTTTTGTGTATGTGGGAGGGGGGTTGTATTTGTTTGGATGGGTTTTTTCCAAGTGTTGTTGTTGTCATTGTTTTGCTTTTGTTTTGTTGGGGTTTTTAGTTTCTTTATTTTTTTTGTTTGTTTTTCTGCTTTATTTTTTACTGGATAGTGGGGGAAATTAACGTAATTGCATGAGGAAATATAATGATGAGAACCTAGCACTGAGTCTGTGAAATTTACCTGTTCTGGCAATGTTTCTGTGAAATGACACCAGTGCTTACAGAAATATGGCCTATGCTGGTTTTTGTTTTCTTTCTGCAATCCCTTCTGAAAGAGCTGCCAATCACATGTTACAGTGTTGTGCTTTACAATGTACAGCATAGGTAATTTTTTCAAAGAAATCACCAGTAAATCAGCTTTCTTGTACTAAATCAATGTTATTTAACAATTCCAGATAATTTATACGATGTAAAGATAAGCATTTGCAAATTCAAGACATTTAATTGTTGATCAGTGTTCCTGCCTCGTGTCAATGGATTTATGAGTTAACAGTCAGTGAGAGCTGAGTGCTGCTTTCATTTCCAATCAATGAGGTTATGCTTGGCAGGCATCAGGGTTCTATTATGTTCAGCCAATGAATACTTTGGTACAAACCTGTACAAAGTAGAGTATAATACAGAAATACTGTTTTGAAGTAGAAAGTTCTGTCTAGAACTGTCTGGCAGATGAGGGAAGGTGAAAAAATTGTTGGTCAAATTACTTTTTTGATCACAGATGTCTGGGTACCTCAGTTTGATATGGTAGCACTTAATGATTAACACAAAGAACAAATAACTTTCCGCAATTCATCCAATCTGCTTGGATTTCTAAACTTCTGTGGAAATGACCACACACACACATGGGCTCCTATAACAGCAAGCTTTGAGGTTTATTAAAAAACCAGAATTCACCAGGCCTGTGCCAAACCTTCGGTAAGGACCATGAAAAAGGCTTTTTAGATACTTTAGCTTTTCCAGTAATGTATGTCTAGGCAAACTTCTGCTCTATCTTGCTTTTTCTCATACTTCTGTTGGCCTTCACTTAGAGGCTTGATTTTCTGAAGGTGTATTTGAATATCTGATTTTCATTGTTTTTTTTCCCATAGGGATTGCAGAGATTGGATGTCCTGTGATATCACAACAGAGGATTTGCAATGTCAGGCTTTTGGAAACTAAATTATGCGATCATTCAAGGTATTGTATCAAGTGCAATCATGTACATGTGGGTACTAGAGGGTATTGGTACTTGGGTCTAAGTCATTTGAATTTTCCAACCTCTTGGTTTTCACAAGCTGATTTTTTGTAATTGTTGTTTATGGGGAAGCATTCTCAGTGCTTCATAAATCACAAAACATTCTGAGTTAGGAGGGACACATAAAAATCATCTCTTTCAGACTGACACTTGAAACAACTCTTTTCTGCTCCCTATTGATTTCTTTTGTACCTGTTGGCATCTTTTAGCTACTCCGGATCACAATTTCTCCAGTGATAAAATAAGATAAAGATGAAACAACGTGACAGAAAGTTGACACCCTAATTGTTATTACTGCTACTATATTGGTTAGATCTGAGGCTTTCTATGTTACTGATATGAATAATCACAAGCATTTGGTTTCAAACTTAACACACTGCAGAACACCTTGAAAGTTCTGGATTCACACTTTACTTCATACACACAGCAAGCCCCAAAAAACAAACAAACAAAAAACTGAAACAAAACAAACAAAAAAGCCCCCACAGCTAACAATTAAAACAGATTAAATAAAAATCCAGTTGAGATAAAATTTTGGCTTGCCACTATGGAAAAGCCCAGTAGAATTCTGCCCTGGCTTTCACAACACACCTGAGAATGAGTCACATTGTTTTGATAATCTTGTATTACCAAGATATTTTCTTTTTATTTGCAACACCAACTAAATATATTTAAAAGAAAGCTGCATCTGCTAGGTCTTCTTTTCCTTGGCAGAATTTAGTAACAAGTGTGCCGCATAGCTGGCTCTCAGATCAACTAGCTGATGCCTGGGTGCTTCATTCTAGTCCCTCTAAAGCCATCAGGGTCCCAGTGTAGGACAAATCCCAGGGAAACTGAGGCCCAGTTCTGGTCTGGCTTCTTCCTTCCCTGCTGATGACCCTCACCTGGTGCTTTTTCCTCACCCAATTTGCCTCACATGGGGCTTTGAGGGAGATTCCTCTGAAAGGCCACCAACTGAATTTCTGCTCTTTTCATAAGCTTGTTGTAGTCTTAACAAAGCATGCCTAAAAATAGTAAAAATAACAATAACAGTCATTTTTTGTATGTGTGCCATCAGCCCTAAGGACATGAAAGCCAGGCACCCATTGTGCTGACTTAATGACTGCTGTAATGATTGGCATGAGAAAGGAACATCACAGCTCTTTTGATACTTCAGGGAACAAAGGCACACTTTTCATCCCCGAGCTTACTTACAAGGCTAAAAGATGAGACAGTGCAAAGACTTGGCAGTGTCAGTGTGGGGAAGGGTGAAAGGGAGAAACCCACAGCTTTTATTTCTACACATAAATAATGCCTGCTTTTATTAATACTCCTCTATGAGTTGAACCATGTGCTGTAGCACTGTATCACTTCAGAGTGATGTTGTTTCAATGGAAAAAAAAAAGGTATTTTCCACCTTTAATCCACTCATAAAAATATTACCACAAAATCTCCTTCTAATATGCATGCCTCAGGAAACAAACATATATGATCCCTGATGGTAGAAATGTGCCTACCAGTACTGGCATGTTCTGCTTTCCCCTGTCTTTGTTTGGATATTTTCCATTTTTTGTTTTGTCCTCCTTGTGGCTAGGAGTGTAACCTTGTTCTTACACTGGTCTGCCTCATCGTGTCCCTCCGGATGAACTTACAAGAGAGCTTCAAATCTCAGCATGCTTCAGCTCTTGGATTATGCCAGCATCCATTTGAATTGAGGCAGACAGGCATGGCCCTGGGGCTTTGGACAGAGTCTAGACCTGAGATGCAGTGATGAACTAGGACAGGGAGGATGTCACAGGCTATGAAACTCCAAAATGGTACAAGATGTAAGTGGAAATAGATGAGGAGTAGGCAGCAGGTCAGCTGTTGCAAAATATGTAACCAGATTGACTGCTCAGCTTATTTCAAAACACTGGCTTCCCCTTTTAGACTTGAAAAATAATTAGGAGCAGAAATCTGTTCTGTTTTCTAGAAATGGAAAGGAACTGGAATATCAGCAAGTTTATTCTCCTTAATAAAAACAGAATTGCCATTATTTTGAGTGGAAGATATTAGCTATGATAGCTTGTTTCCCAAAAGACTAAGACACAAAAATACCTTTTAATGGCTACAGTTATTTCCATATTTTACTGTATTTTCTTTTTCAGTTGCCTCAAGGTTTTATTCTTTGCCAGAAGTTGTAGGGCATGGGTAAATGGAATTAGTCAGCAGATTACAGATCTATTGCTGATTTAGCCCCCCAGAAAAAAAAAAAATACAGCGTGAAGATGAAGTATATTGTTTAATTACAGCAACATCGAATTGCTTCAGTTAATCACTGACTGAATATACCCTAAGGCTTTTAAATCAGAGGTATACAGTAATTTTCAATAACCCCACCATGGAAAGAGCTTCCAAATCTCCATGACTTAAGACCACACAGCCTGGCTATAACAGATTTGAATCACCTGCAAATTGTGTTTACCCTCATGCAGCTGCTTATTTGGAGTCCAAGTGCATCTCACCAATATTTAGCCATTAGGTCATGAAGGCAACAGTTCTTCAATGCACGTATTGAGACCAAGCCTCTTTAGCATATTGACTTGATGAATGGGAAGCCCTAGCCAGTCTTCCCAACACCACCCAGGGTCAGCATGGTGGGACAGAGACATTCCACACAGGGCACGTATCCTCTCTACTCTAAGCAGCAGCGTAAGCATACCAGCATTTGTTTGAGAATTTATTTCCAAATTAACTCACATAACTTGAATACTAACTTTCCAATTGCTTGGAAGCTTCCAAAAAAAGCCCTCACTTAGATGCTATTTTTCCTTAATGTTTTAATTGTGAGTTTTAGCAAGGAGAGATTAAGGTATCACCTCTGGTATTTATTACCATTTATGGTGACTTTGAGGAGAGACCTGTCTTTTGGACAGAAAACAGAATGAAAGAATGCTTTATCATGACATTTTTCCTACCCTATCTCTTTTTCTAAAATTCCATTTGACCATTTGCTATTACAGTCTGAATATGCTCATTGTTGATTAAAATAATTAATATTTGACATGAACATTTGATGATAATCCCTTTAAGCACCTCAAAAGAGGGGAATGCAGAATTGCAACAGTCTGCTCTTAATGACTGTATTCCTGTTTAGTGTTTGCATTTTGGTATTTCAGAAGGAGAGCACTGGAGAATGAGGTTATGGAACACCCAGCCTAAAGACTGAACTTCTTGCTGGGGTTGCTTTAGGGCATTTTGAAAAATAATACAGTGCCTTACTGTGCCAGGGGGTTTCCTGGTCCTGACCACTGAGAACTGCTGATATCACTGTGTTACTGGAATAGGAATTGTGGCAAAAGGCATTGAGGAACCTCTCTGGTGCCAGTGCCTGTTCTGCAACAGTGCTGGATTTGGATTTTTCTTGCTTCATGTCCCATATCCACCTGACCTCCACTTCCCTTTCTTTAGGGCCCCAACAAGGCAAATTGCCCCATCTTTTCACTGAATTGTATTTTTAACTTCACAGGAAATCTTTGGTTTTCATTCTGGATGTGTCAAATAATTTCTATCTTCTTCTTTCCTTCCTTTCCTTGCATTTTTATTCGGGGTAGAGGAGTCTTGCATCTCTGGGATCTCCAATATTGGAAGGACCCTGACATGTTGGATTGGGTCCAGAGAAAAGCCACTAATTTGATTAGAGGGATGGAGCAGCTCTCCTATGAGGAAAGGCTGAGAGAACTGGGTTTGTTCAGCCTGGAAAAGAGAAATCTTTGGGATGAGTTAATTGTGGCCTTCCAGTACCTGAATGAAGCCTAAAAGAAAGATGGACAAGGGCTCTTTACAAGGGTATGTAGTGACAGGACAAAAGGGAATGGTTTCAGACTGAAAGAGAAGGTTTAGATCAGATATTAGGGGGAAAAAAAAATTCTATGAGGGTGGTGAACTACTGAAACAGATTGTCCAGAGAATTTGTGAATATGGAACCCTGGAAGCGCCTAAGGGTGGGTTTGATGGATCTCTGAGAAACGTGGTCTAGTGAACTTGGTGACCTTTCCTGTCCCTTCCAACCCACGCCCCTCTGCGATCCTATCATCCATCCTATGGTATCTGGAATAAATAACACTATCACAAGAATGCTTGCGGCCGGCGGCCGTCCGCAGGAGGAGGGGAGGAGGCTCCGCTGAGGATGCGCAGCCCCGGGGCGGGGGCGCAGTCCCGGCAGCCGCCGCCAGGGGGCAGGAGCATCCCCAGGGATGCCGGCAGCAAAGCCAGCCCCAGCCAGCTGTCCGGGGACGAGACAGCGCTCAGAGCAGCCTGACGGAGCACCAGGAGGTGCGATTGCTACAAGGTCACCCAGTTTTTACCAAACGGACTCGTTTCTCTGACCTTCAGGGAAGCGTATTGTCAGAATAAAAGCAGAAAACGTCGATTTTCCCGTCTTCCTTGCAGAAACTGGCGTCTCCTTTTCGGTCCCCACCTTCATCTTCTGCTTGTCATCCATCCCCTTTGTGCAAAGATTGATCATGATGGCATGACGTGATGCTAAATGGGGAGTAAGTGGAGTGTCTCCCAAATGAGGTTTGGCTCTTTATTTTCCTAGTGTGTCATCATGTGCCCACTTCCTAAAAAGCAGCCCACAGCAGTGATGTGGATTGCTGTCACTGGGATGAGTAAGACCAGGAGAGAAAGCGCAGGGCTGAAAATAATTTGCGGAACTGTAAAAATCCAGGCTTACAGTACTAACTGAGCCAAAATCATGCAGAGTAATGAAAGACATACCAGATGCTGTAAACAGCCTCCTTTTAACATTTGCAACAAATAATATTTAAAAAAACCCAACTGATACTCACCAAATGCTACTAAACCCTTGCAAAAGCTGTGGAGCAGAAAGCTCTCTCCGAGTGACCTTTTCCACTTTGCATTTTGGGGTTTGCCTTGTGCCAACACCCGGAGCAGCCAGCACCAGCTATCTGCAGGGCGT